TCAATTCACTCTGCAAAGCAGTGTGTCCTAGTCCCAGAGAACCCCTTTTCCTTATGGCTCACCACAGCTTCCAGCCAAGAGACATTTTGATTATCCTCCTTGCTTTGGTGTGGAAATAACACTAAGAAAAAGAACTCCAACTCCACCCTGCAAGTGTGCGACTCCACCAGACCAGATAGGCTGCACAACCAATAATGGATGGACCCAGAAGTACGTATATGTCACTCCTACTTGGGCCCATTTGCAATGGAATGTAATCATATTTTTCATGAGGGAAACAGGTGCACTGTTGTGCCCTTAGTAAAAAAGGTTTATGTTTCTTCTGCATTAACGTGCATTTTAAGCCATTTCCAGCTATTATTAGTTCCCATGGGTCATTTTTTGAAGTCAGTAGTGAATGCCCATTTATCCGAAAGCCCATGGACACTGCTCGAATGGCCATGTTTTTCCTGCACAGTGACAAGTAGTGCTCTTAATGATGATTCTGAGCACCATGCAAAATCCTGTGCCTGCGGGGCCATCAAGGCCTAAATCACGTTCACCCAGGCTTATGGTAAACTGTTTGTGATTTTGTTATGATCCATTGCAAAATGGATAACCTTTGTTGATATATACTCCTGGTTAGATAAAACATTAACCAATAATCCTATTATCCCATTGTCAAGTAAGAAACAAAAATGACTTACATCTTTCAAATATATTGTGTTGTCGGAAAAGTCATGACACATTTTTGCAACAGATGGTGCTAGTTCATTTTTGGAAGTACTAGAGTCATTCGCATCCATGTTATTGGTATGTCATTTGACAGCTGACAGTTCTAGCTTCATTCTAAAAAAAAATCGAGCAATTTGGTTGAGTTTTGGAGATTTTACAACAAGCTGAAGATGGAATACCAAACTGTGCATTTCGCCTTATTTTACTGTTTTACTTCTGTAAAGGGAAGAATGTACGTCAAGTTTGTGAAAAGTTGTGTAAAGTTTATGGTGACAATGCTCTACAAGAACATCAGTGCCAACGATGGTTCTCGAAATTCCGTGCTGGTGATTTTGATCTCAATGACGCTCCTCGGTCAGGGAGGCCCACCAAGGTTGATGACGACAAAATAAAGGCATTGATCGAGTCAAACCCACGTTACACAACATGAGAGATTGCAGAAACATTGAACATCCATCATTCAAGCATTCACGACCACCTGAAGAAGCTGGGATATGTAAGCAAGCTCAATATTTGGGTTCCTCATGAACTCAAAGAAGTTCATTTGATGGCGTGTATAATCATCTGCGATATGCTCACTAAACGTGAGGAAAACGATCCTTTTTTGAAGCGACTGATAACTGGTGATGAGAAGTGAATTGTTTACAACAATGTGGTTTGCAAATGGTCTTGGTCCTGACGTGATGATTCGCTTCAAATGACATCAAAAGCAGACATTCATCAGAGGAAGGTTATGCTCTCATTGTGGTGGGATTTTAAAGGTGTTGTGTTTTTTGAGCTCCTACCAAGGAATCAAACAATCAATTCAAATGTGTACTGTCGGCAGTTGGACAGTTTGAATGAATCCATCATCCAGAAATGTCCAGAGCTTGTTAATTGTAAAGGAGTTGTGTTTCATCGTGACAACGCGAGACCACACACGTTTGATCACCTGTCAAAAATTACTGGAGCTTGGATGGGATGTGTTGCCACACCCACCATACTCGCCTGACCTTGTGCCATCAGACTTCCGCTTGTTTCACTCTCTTCAAAACTCCTTGCGTGGTATAACGTTTAAGTTAGATGAGGCTGTAAATCAGCACCTTGTTCAGTTTTTCGCTGATAAAGACAGGTCCTTCTATGAATGAGGAATTATGAAGCTCACTGAAAGATGGCAAAAGGCTATTGAACAAAACGGGCAACATATCATTGATTGATCTTTGTTCTTTATATAAATAAATGACCTTTGAAAATCATAGACAAGATACATCATGACTTTTCCGACAACCCAATAGAAGCTAGGAGAGCCGCTATTAAAACAAATCTCCAAAGGATTCAGAATTTTGGTTTTTAATGGATGTATTCATGATGAAGTTGCAGCCCCACTCACGTTCTTAAGGTGACACAAATGTGTGCAAACACATAGCCACTTCTGAGTGTACAAGTCATGGTCGCTGGAGGGCAATTTGCCACTTGCCATCGCGAGAGAGTCCAGAGATAGCTCAAGCCACAACTCTGATCAAAAAACCCCAAGAAGGCATATTATTATGAGGCTTTATCCCCACCCCAGAGGAGTAAACCAAGTCCCCCCTCTTTATAGAAACACTGTTGCTCCACTGGGCCATTCTGCAGGCTGCTTTCTATGGGGTCTTTACCAGGCTGCTCTGTGGACAGGCCGTAATGACAGCTGAGACTCTCGGGTCTAAGATGACTTGTGTCAGACCCACATCCTTGGGGGAACTGGCAATTCAGCAGGTATCATGGTTGTCCTAGGTAACAGAAAATATCTGTTGATTTTCAGTAACCATAGAATACTGGTTAAGTGCATGGACTTTAGTGTTAGCTAGACCAGATTTAAATTTCCTTTATTCCATTTATCAGCTGTCAAAGTACCACTGTCAAATTGGGTAACTGTTCTAAATGTCTGTTTCCTCATTAGCATAACGAAGATGATCATGCTACCAATAATATCTACTCACAGAGCTGTTGTGAATTAGAGACAATGTATGTTATGTCTGGGCACAGTTCCTGGCACATAGTAAGCCTTCAATCTCGAGTGACAATTATTTTTTACCTGGCAACCTTCCACAATCATATATATATGAATACACACACACACACACACACACACACACACACACACACACGCTTCCGTTATCCTTATTGATTTAACAACCTAAAAGCGTTTTCTCACTCATTATTTTAATAGCAATCATTATTGCAATTACTGTTTGTTCATGAGACCTCATATTATTGTAATTATTATTTTAATCCCGCTCTCACAAATGTCACCAATAACTACCAGCCATTAGTTGTCATTAATAATTACCAACACCATGACATCCCACCTCAATGTTCAGGGTAAATGAGACTTTGTTTATTAGTACTAAGGGCCAGCCATAAGTGAAGGATTTCTCTCCATTAAACAAACAAAAAATTCCCTCACAATGTTCAAGGTTGAATTTGTTTTCTGCTCTGAACTAAACACAATAACTGACTAAATTTAATGTTTGCTCTAAAACATCTGAAAAGACTGTATTCTGAAGAAAAGCAATTCAAGGCTATGATGCATGTGTGAAATCATCTGTACTGGGCAGAAATATGCTGCCCACTGTTTTGTGAGGCAATATTCTAGAAGAAATAACTGAGTTAACTGGTTAGTTTGTTTTAAACATGAAATATCAGCTCACTTTAGTAAACTCTCCATAGTGAACACATGACTAGATGGCTATGTAAGCTAATTCTCACTAACTTCCAGCTTTTCCCATATTATTTCATTTGCTGGGGTTTTGCAAAAATTAAATACAGTTTAGGGGATACAAGCCAGACTGTGGGGCTTCAACCTCCAAAAAATAAGCTGCAGTGAGATGTGGCTTCACATGAGCTGTGAAATGATGAGTCTTTCAGAGTGACAAATGAGATGAGGAATGCGCAACAAACATCCCATTTTGCAAAGATTCTAGGCTTTGGATGTCTTCCCTCCACATGCCTCTCTTTCCCTGCCAGGGTGAGGAGACTGCAAATCAGGAGGTCCTAAAGGAGACGCAGGGTGGCCCAGCTGCCCTCCTCTCACCTCTTCTTTGAGGTGGTGTGTTAGGTCAGCACGGCCATACCCACATGTACAGAGACAGTTGGATGCATCCTTGAAATGATTTTCTGTGCATGCAATTTATATCTTTTCCTTTAAGGGTAAGACTGTAGACTGCTCAAGGTCAAGGATGAACTTGTACTCATGTTGGTGTCTCCAGCACTTGGCACAGATCCTGATGGGCATATGGTGCCTTATAAAGATTCTTGAATCAAAAGGAGGATGGAGAGAGCACATTTAAAAGTGGGTGGGAGGGACATAAAACACACAGGACTGGAGGAGAGAAACCCAGTGATCTGGGATCTTTCTGCCCCACAAAATAGACTCGGGTCACCCACCTGGGGTCATCTTTACTTTTTCTTCCTTTGATTTCTGTATGGTAGAGAGGTTTTAGTTAAACCACATGAAATTCCATCTTTGTCGGTCCAAAAAGTACAATTATTGACAATTTCAGTTTCAACCTAATAGTAGGCAGAGAGGTGTTAAGGGCACTTATTTGAGATGCAGAAATGTGAGTTTGAATTCTGACCCCTGCTTAGAACCTGTGTGACATTAGACAACTTACTTAACGTTTCCAAGCTTTGATCTCTTTGTAGAACTAAGGATGGTAACACCTGTGTAGGTGTAAAGATTGAAATACATGTTGACAACTTAGCTGGTACTGTTCCCCAAGGTATGAGACAGTGAGACCCTGTACCTTTGTATCTGCCTCTATTGTCCTAAACTTAGGCACTGGCCACGTGTCCCCAGTCACTCCCTCACTTTGCAGTGTACTTTCTACATGATGCCATCATTATTATACTGTTTGCCATTTTAAAATAAGATTGAAATAGAAGCTTAAAAACAAGGCATTCAGTTGTGGGGTTTTTTCCTATTAAAATCAGAAATTTTAATGCTTGCAGAAAACATTTCTTTTGTATCTAATTATTCAAACTAATGGGTTTTATTGTAATGAGATTTTTAAAAACCATTATGATGTGCAAAGGGCTGAGGCTTAAAATATTTTCACTTACAGATATGTTCTGCTTTAATGAAAGCCAATATGTAAAAATCTAAACTTAGGTACATTGGAAGCTTTGTCTATGCTTATGTTGTTTACATTACAAAAGAGGTAATCTGCCTACAAAAGCATTTATTTCAGTGTTCCTTTTTCAATTGTGAGATCCCCATGGTGCATTTAGAACACAACTTGAATTATTACTGGGTTATTTACACACAGGTGTTTCTTGTAAAGCAGAGTTCACCTGGGGAGAGTGTTGGGCTGCAGTACAATGGCTTTGAATTTCGTAATCAGTCAGAAGAGGAACTGAGGGGAGATTTTGAGTGACATCCTTGGCAGAAGGTAAGAAAGGTTCAACATTAGACTTTCAGGGCTCCTATCTAATCTTGATGTGAAGGCATATGTCAAATGCACCATTATATCTCTTTAGCTTAAACTGAGTGGTGTTTAGCGATTAAAGCAATGGAGTTGTGAATCAGGAGCTGTGTTTTCTATTCTGACTCATCTAGCTTCTGAGCAGACGCTCCTGACATGTTCACTCTAAGGCCAGTTTCTTATTTACATAGCAAGTATTTCCATCCTAGGGGATGCGGTTAATGTTTCTAATTGCCTTGTGATCTCTTCAGACTGAAGATCTGGCCGTGTTGCCCTCCCCAGCTGGTGAACCAATAGCCGGAAAACCCTCTATACCTACTACCTGTCTTTATCTTAAAAAAATAAAATAAGTGGTTGTAAAAGCCAAATCATCAGTTATGGAATTAAGAAACCAAAATGGGAACCATTCCACCCTCAGGCCTGAAGGGTGGTCAGTGTTTGGAGAGGATTCCCTACGGGCGTTTGTAGAAAGGTGTGGCAGAGATGGAGCTGGAGAAATAAACACTCAACCGGAGCTTCCCCTCACACTTCCTCTCCTGCCACACCCCTCACAGGCTGAACCCAAAAACCAGAGAGGGCATAGGTCAGCTTCCAGGGCAGGGCAGGGTGGAGAAGGGTAGAAAGTGGACCTGGGAGGAGCATATAGAATATAGTCAGTACACCATCATTGGGAAATTAATTCATATTCATGATACCTCAAAGACATTGAAAAACAAATACAAATATTCACTTGGGGAAACTTATTGAGAGCAGCTCCATTTGCCTCTTCAGCATAGTTAATATTGGTGGTACATTTCATAAAAACACCCAGTCAGCAAGTATCTTTGGTTAGACTGTGAACTTCCTGAGAGCAGGAACAGTTCTTTATTCTTTATCCTTAACAGCACTGTTCCTGGCACCAAAAATATGGTTCAATAACCATTTTTTGAGTGATCTGCTTCTGAACATCCCCAGGAACCTCCAGCATCACCATGATTGAAAGTTCTACCTAAAGTATAACATTGGATGTTCGCACCATTCTAAGAGGGTTATATTAAGCATGAAGGAATATTTCTTGGATGACTGAGAATACAGCTATACTCAGGGCTGTCCTTCTGAACTGTAGGTGTGGGCAACACAGCTGATTTTCAAGACACTCCAAGTTTTTAAACACAAATAAGGAAACACATGGGAATTCCCAGATCAGACTGATGGTTTAGCCTGCCAAGTATTCTCTGCTAGGACTAAATGTTCTACATTTTTCCTTAAGTATAAAGTCTCTGATTAATGTAGGAATGGACTTGTTAGGTTCCAGTAAGTAGAGATTTTACTTCTTCATTAAGAAGATAAAAATTATTTTTCTTCTGCCACTGTCATATTTTGACTTCTCTTCTGGTGTTTTTCCAATTTCCCCAAATGTTTTAACTATCTTTATTAAATTAAGTCTCTGGAATTTCTTTTTCTTATTGCCATTCAAAAGATTGTTGGGCCGGCCGAGTGGCACGATGGTTAAGAGCTGGCTTGGGACCCCAGAGGGCCCTGGTTCGGATCCCACATATGAGGGCCAGTGACACTGCCCTCTACAGCTAAGATGCTGAACAACAGCTCAACCTGGAGTTGGGAT